TTACCGTTCAAAAGCAATGTTGCTGATTGCCTTTCAAACACTAACCAATACAAGCATCTACGAAAATATACAAGACCATTAAACTCTTGAAATTTGATGTTTTCTTAATCATTATACTCTTTCTTTTTACAAAGAAACACTTACTGAATGGCAGAGAACTATACTCCATCCATTCTATTTTATCTGAACTCTTTCTTTTTTTTAATCTGTTTAGAAAATAAACTTTTGTTTATTCAAAAACTATTTTACTTTAAACTTCCTATTTATCCTTTTATAGCTATACGAAAAACTATTTTTTCGGTATATATCCGAAATTCCTCACGCGAAAATTTTTGATACATATCTAGAAGGGGGATCACTCCCTATAAAAGATTTCTCTAGAAAAATCATTGCATATTATTTAAGATACATGATTGTAAAAAAAAATTATTTTCTTGCTTAACTAAGCTCAACTAAACAGGTTTAATTATATGAAAAGAAAGTTAAAAGGAGTACATATTATGCAACGGAAATATTATACATCCCACTTTCAAAAAAAATTCTTAAACACTATGCTTAAACTGATTCATATAAAATAAAACCGAGGGAGTACATATTATACAACATAAATGATGTACATAACGTTGGAAAATAACATATTAACATGTCTGTATCAATGTCAAGGAAAATACTACTTTGAGAAATTGTACAAACTTACAAAAGGTAGGAGGATAACAACTATGATTTGTCTTCTTGTAATAAAAAGTAGTGCCTCCCGCATACACACAATAAGTGACCAATTTTCTTTGGGCACGTCCATTAAAAAAATACTAAATGCTATATACAAAAATATTTAGTATGACTAAACTACCCTTAATTAAATATTTAATGTGAATTTTTTTTTTGATTATATAAATGGACACTTATTTTGGACCAAAATAAAAAAGCAAATTGGTCACTTATTGTGGACCGGAAGAAGTAGTAAAAGTGAAACAGGAAAAAGCAAATAAAAGAATATTAAGACAAATCTTACAACGAAAATGAAAAATTCCCCAAACGCTGTAATTTCAATCTTCTCAACTGCTGCCTCGGCAGGAGCATCTCTTGAGTTCAGCAACAACCATAAAATCAGTCAATCTCTAAGACTAACACCATATTCTCCACACACACACCAAAAAAAAACTATTATTGGACTACGTGTAAAAATCATGAACAGAGAAACACCACAGCAAGGAATAAGATCAATACTTAAAGCGTATCGAACGACAATTAATATATCTAAGATAGTATCTAGTATTGACACTCCAACATATATAAATTGACCTTGTCGATAGAAGAGTTACCTACTGCAAATGCATATTCTTCACTAACTAAAATCTCACTTCAATCAATCTCGCATGGAATTCTCTATTGTTTCTGGGAATGTTGATTGTATGTGCACTTGTTTGTGGGAAAGAAGATAAATAAAAGAGAAGTACTTAAGAAAATTAATGGAAAGAAGAGGAGGAGACGTTCTTTTCAATCAATGTCGATGGAATTCCCCATTGTTTTTGGGAATGTTCATTCTACTGTACTCCCTCCGGTCCAAAATAAGTGATTTTTTGGCCTTTTTCTTGTGGTCCAAAATAAGAGATCTTTCCAGATTTCAAAAATGAATTAATTATATTTTTCCTACGTTGTCCGTGGAGTAAATAGTGTTGGAATATGTGTTAGGAGTGTTTATGTGAGATAGTAAAGGTTAATATGGTCAATTCCATTGCTAATTAATGCTAAAAGGTGGATTTCTTAATCTGTGTGAAAACATCCAAAAAATTACTTATTTTGGACCGGAGGGAGTACTTGTTTGTAGGAAAGAAGATAAATAAAGAGCAATAATTAAGAAAATTAATGATAAGAAGAGGAAGAGACGTTTTTTTTTTTTTTTTTTTTTTTTTTTTTTTAGCTTTTTTAGGAAAATGCAAACGGTTATATTGTTTAAGTTTTTATTTAATAGACACTTTATGTTCTTTAATTTTTGTGACTCTTCATTACCTTGATTACCGTTACAGTTCTTTAATGTAGTTACATATATATATATATATATATATATATAATCTATGTGTCGTTGTGTCGTTAGAATGTCAATATGACATATCCAGATATCCTAACTCCTGAGAACGACACATCAAAAGAAAAATAATTTACGACATGGTCAAGTAATTATATATTTTTTCAAACCTCGATAATGAAACATACCTACTCCACAGTTTAGAGATTATCCAATTATCTGTAATATATTATGTATCCTAAACTCGTCACTGGAAAAGGAGCTTTTTGCATCTTGCAACTTATACTTTTGAGCTTGAGTTTTAAGCAACAACCCTACCAAGTGAAAAGGAAAAGAAAAGGATTGACATCAATACTTCAAGTTAACCTTCTCTTACTTGTAATTTTCACATAATACACGCTGTATTTGGAAGAACAATTTACTAATAAAGAAATCATAATTCAGATTGTGAAAACACATTTTAGTGCAACGGGTCCTATTTAGATTTTTCAACAACAGCCCCAATCAAATATTATAACAGCAACAACAACAAATTCAGTGTAATATGAGTTTAGAGAAGATAGTGTGTACACAAATCTTACCCCTAGCTTAAACAAATAAGAAGATTGTTTCCAATAAACCTTTAGCTCAAGGAAAGATTTAAAAAAAAAATAGTAGTAACATGCTTAAAGCAAATTAAAGAAACAACATGCAGTTAGGGGTGTACATAGGTCGGGTTGGTTCGGATTTTTTAATTACCAAACCAAATCAATGGTGTCGGATTTTTAAATCTAGACCAAATCAAACCAACAAATTCGGGGTTTTCAATCTCGGGTTTTTCGATTTTTTTTGGGTTTTCGGATTTTTTCTGATAAAGTCTTCATAGCACAAAATATGTAGTTTGTGCTCCAAATATATCTTTAGTCCTAGTAGGATACCACTATATAATGTATTTTTGAAGAAAATAACACAATAATATGAGATGAGTCATAGCATTGTACTAAAATATTCAATAACAAAGATAATAAAATTGCATAAAGTAAATAAAAGGGAAAAAAGGCCATTATTACCCCTGTACTATTGAAAATAGTATACGTTTGTCCTCCGTTTCACTTTACGTCCAAAACTCACCCTACCGTTAACAAACTTGATGGAATTGCCCTTAATCTAACGGATCTACACCGTAGAAACTGACCCTTTCAATTTTTTTCCATATCAGCTGCCAAGTCACTCGACCCCACCAAATTAAAACCCCCACAGACCCCATTACATCACCCGTCGCCCACCTGTGACCCTTCATCAACCCGCTTCAAAATATTTCCCCCAAATATCTCTTTCACCCACTACCAGTGTTGGCGTCGCCGCAGGAAGAAGCAACGGAGGTACAGCGAAGTAACGCTGGATCGATGGTGCCGGAGATGGATCTGATTGGGAGGTTTTATTATTGGGATCCGCCGGCGGTTGCTGTGAATTAATAACGGCTGGATTTTCTGGTAAATGACTGAGCCTCCATTGATTGATGTGGAAAATGGGTAGCGAAAACTTGTGGGTTTTAAGAGTACTGACCCTAGAATTACTTCCCAGAAGAAAATGGTTGATTTTTGAGATGAAAGAAGAAAACGGTTGATTTTACGATGACGTCGTCGCCGGTGGATGCTGCTTCCATCTTCGCCCGATTTTCAGATGGATTTATTAATAAATACATAACTTATTATAATACATAATCTACATAATCTATCTCTCTTCCATATTCGTGGTGTATGTGTTGGAATATTTTCTTTGGCTTCTAATCCATTTGTACCAATTTGTACAGATAAAAACACAACAAAGACAAACCCATCTCTATTATTCATTCCCTGAATAATTTAATTGAAGTCTATCCATCCAACCAAGTTTTACTTATAAATGTGCATAGGGGTATGAGGAAAATAGGATTGGGGTCGTGTAAGCCCTAATTCTTTGCCAATGGAGAATGTAATGGGGGTCTGTGGGATTTTAATTTGATGAGGTTGAGTGACTTGGCAGCTGACATGAAAAAAATTGAAGGGGTCAACTACCATGGTATAGATTCGTTAGGGTTAGGGGCAATTCCATCAAGTTTGTTACCGGTAGGGTGGGTTTTGGACGTAAAGTGAAACGGAGGACAAACGTGTACTATTTACAATAGTACAAGGGTAATAATGGTATTTTCCCCAAATAAAATTGCTAATTAATAAGCCATAATGAAAATTAACATAATTTAAAAATACTATATAGGTCATGATAAAATAAGTATAGCCAATAAGTACTATCAATTACATAACTAAGCACTAAAGAAAGATAAACTAAGTTATGCATTTTTATTATAAACTAATGTAAAATTAAAAAATAGATATCTAACACTATCGTCGTTCCTATTGTTGAATTGAATTTCTTTTGTTAGCATTAGTATTGATTTGAACTTTGTTTGAGTTTCTACATTTATGGGCATTAAAATTTATTTGCCATTGAAGAATGTTACGTCCATACTTGAAATAATACGTTAAAAGATAAAACTGTAATAAAATTTTAAGAAATATTTATAAAATACATTACAATAAATATTTATATGTATAAAATATTTTTAAAAATTGTATAAATATGCTATCAAGTTGGTTTGGTTCGATTTAATTTTTTTCAGGTAAAATCAAACCAAACCAACTCAATTATGATCGTTTTTTTTCTTTACCAACTCACAATTGATTTATTTTTTTTGATTTGACTCGAATTATCGATTTAGCGCGATTTATTGATTTTCTTGCGTACATCAATACATAAAGTAATAAAAATTTAAAAATAAGAAAGTATATGATTAACACTACTGGCATGGACAAATTAAATACAAAGAGGATTTCTAAGAAAATATAAAACAGTACGCATGTTAATGATTGGCCACGTGTCCATGACTTAACCATTTTTTTTCTTTTTTTATTCTCTTCTCCTTCTTTTTATTAGAGTGGAAGCACATGAACATAGCAGAGCATCCCTTATATTTAGCTTCTACACTTCTTATATTAAAGAAGGAGATCTAACCCAAGAAAATAGCTACTCATTTTCCATTTTTAGCGAGTTGATAATTAACAAATCATTGCTTTTTTCTCTTTCCATAACTGTCTAATTATACATATACTTGACTTCTCGTCCATTTCCCCCTTTTTTGTGTATGAGGATTTCTCTCGTTTTCTCTTTCTTAAGGAAGAAGAACAAGAAGAAGATTATAGTTTGATTTTATTGAATTTCCAAATGTTTAAAACATTTTCTATGTCCTCCCGAATGGGAAGAGACTTGCAAAGATACAATGAAGGTTGTCGTCAAGTTGTTGGGTACGTTTTTCTTTTAATTCTTGTTATTTTTGAAAGTCAAAAAGTTTCAAGTGGGGTTGTAATTTTTATTTTTATTTTCATTTCTTTACCTTTCTTATTTGTGTTTAAGACCAAAAGATAAATGGGGAAGTTTTTGGATACAAGGTTTTTTGTCCTGTTCTTATATATTATTAAGAAATTGATATGATTTCTCTCTCAAATTACATATGGTGCAGATGCATTCCTTATAGATACAGAGAAACCAAGCAGTCATCTTCCAATAATGGAGCCAGAATTGATGATTTAGAATTTCTATTGATTAGCTCACAGAAGAGTCCAAGAGTAATGTTCCCTAAGGTAGATATAAATCCATAACAACTCCATCAAAATTTTCTATGATTTAGCTAATTGGATTATTTGTTTTATCATTCCTCAATTGAGGTAAAGTTGTTGTCATGTGACCAGAAGGTCTCGGGTTCGAGCCGTGAAAACAGCCTCTTGTAGAAATGCAAGTTAAGGTTGCGTACAATAGACCCTTGTGGTCCGGCCCTTCCCGGACCTAGTGCACTGGGCTGCCCTTTTTTTTGATTCCTCGATTGACATTATTGGTTTTGCAATGAATTTACAGGGTGGTTGGGAAATTGATGAGTCATTGAAAGATGCAGCTTTACGAGAGACTTTTGAAGAAGCTGGGGTTCTCGGCGAGGTTGAGGTTCAGGTTTGTATCTGCATCTTAAAGTTATAATTATCCGTGTAAGATTAGAAAACCTTTAGTTTTTGATTAGAAGACAGATAATTTAGTAGTGGAATGAAATGAACCTGATGAAATAGATACAAATGATTCATGTAGTTGATTCCAATTAATAAAAAATGTGACATTAATTGACTAATTTTCTCGTATATACTATTTCTGGGTTAATACAGGACTACTTAGGTACATGGAGTTTCAAGAGCAAAAGCCAAGGCACATTTCATGAGGGGCACATGTTGCCTTTGCTTGTCACTGAGGAATTAGATGATTGGCCTGAGAAAACTGCCCGTCGGCGTTTCTGGGTTTGTAAATTTTGGATCTCTGCTATCTTGCTATTAGTCTTTTGATCTCAATATCTTAGGTTAGATAATGCAAACAGATCCAAAATGTACAACAACAAACCTAGTGTAATCCCATAAGTAGGGTGTGGGAAGGGTAACGTGTACACAAACCTTACCCCTACCCTATAAAGGTAGAGAGGTTGTTTCCGATAGACCCTCGACATACTCTTAACGTATATCTTCACAAATTTTTATAAATTTTGAATACATGTATTTAGTTTGAGGCGCATTGCCCTGATGCTCGATTTGCCTTTGTAAGTAGCATGTTTTGCTACGTGGTAACTCTGCTCACTAAGCTTTAGGCAGAGGTGATTATTTCCGATATGCCTACGTATTGATGGATAGAGTTATACCGTACCTGTGCTGGTGAAAGCTTCGATAAAAGAATGTGTTTTGATGTGGTATTTGATTAAATTTGCAGATGAAATTTAATGAAGCGCGGGAAGTATGTTGGCATCCATGGATGAAGGAAGCGTTAGACGTCTTTGCTTCAAAGCTTGCTAATAGAAATAAAGAAGAGCCTCAGACATCATGCCCCTTCAACGAATTGTCAGATAAAACAATGACAAACATTGATACTACAGTCGCTAACCAAATGTACAATGATGAACCAAGAATGGAAGCTGAAGCTAATCCTTTGACTTGTGAAGAACCAAGCATCAATCCAATCTTCGAAGATGAGCAGATAATTAGTACTGTAGCCGATTCCATGTTCAACGAGACATTGTTCAGTGAAGAACTGGGAATTAGCCATGTAGCTGCACCAATGTTCAATGAAAGTAAAAGAATAAGTATTATCGCTCACAGCTAGCAACGAAAGAAAAATGAGAATCAGCAAGCTTAAGAAGCATTAGTGGCGAATCTGGAATTTAGAAGTTGTGGGTTCTGAGTTAAGGGAGTTGGTTCTGAAATGTATATCATTCTATTTCCACACACACACACACACATAAATATAGTTAGCACTGGTTCTGCCGAATGTGGTGAACTCATCGTTGGATCCGCCTGAGAAACAAAAATGGGCATTGTAACCAAGGATACCTATTCAGTAGAATTCTCAAGGTGCCAGGAACCAAGAATGAAGATAGCATGTGAAAGTATGTGTAAAATGTAAATAGATTAGGAACTTAAGGGTGTACATAGTCTTTCTTTTGTTCCTTGTTGTAAATACTCCCTGACCAATATATTATGAATGTAGAGACTGACATATTATATATGGTTTCCTTGTTGTAAATACTCCCTGACCAATATATTATGAATGTAGAGACTGACATATTATATATGGTTTCCTTGTTGTAAATACTCCCTGACCAATATATTATGAATGTAGAGACTGACATATTATATATGGTTTCCTTGTTGTAAATACTCCCTGACCAATATATTATGAATGTAGAGACTGACATATTATATATGGTTGTACTTTCAATCTCTGTGTCTTCAGTCTGCAAAAGGCAAAACCTCAGAATCCTGTTTGATAGAAATCTTGATGACTTTGGAAGCTCAATGGCATTGATCACACTTACGGCCAGAAGAAAGAAAATACTTAGTGCCCGGGTCCTTGTATTGAGTGATTGAGTGAATGGGCTTTCGGTTTTTGTGACTTTTGTCGGATTTCGAGATGTGGGCTCGTGGGCCGGGTTTGAGCCAATTTCGGATTTTGAGCTATAATCTCTAATTTTTCTTGTGAAATTGATTCCTTTAGCCGTATTGATTGTATTGGCTTAGAGGGCATTCCACACAATAAACAGTGCAATTCGCGCATTACCAGTGCCTTGTTTTGGATGATGTTGAGAGCATTATGCAATTTTATCCACTCTCTCAAGTTGTCAATTCAAGCAATTGAAGTAAGAGGTTAAGTTTGACAGTGCGGTTCTTGTAGAAGTAGAAAAATTTGAGGAAATGAGTTCATTTAGGGGCAGAGAGAGTTAGAGGGTTCTAATGTACAAAATTTGCTGACTTCATTCTTTAATTCATTTTGGTTCATACATTCTTTGATATTTATGAGTACATAAATTAATCTCATTTGTAGTATTCTGGATTCCATTACTCAAATGGCCCTCACCCATTTTAAATTACCTAATAAAGTTATGTTTCTTTTGTTTGTAATAGAGAAGTGACTTAACTATTTCTATAGCACTCAGAAGGTCACTCAACTAGATTTCTCGAACTTTTTATGGGCAAATACCTATTTTAACCTCTAAATTATTAATCTGTATCTTTTCTTAATGCTTTCAAAATATTATGATTCTTTTTTTCTCTTTTCACTCTATATCATGAACTTACAACAACAACGACGACCCTGAAAAATCCCACATGTGCGGTTTGGGGAGGGTAGTGTGTACGCAGACCTTACCTTTACCCCGAGGGGGCAGGGATGTTGTTTCCGATAGACCCTCGGCTCAACAAGACGAAAAGAGACAATATATCAGTACCATAAAAAACCATATAAATAATAACAACATCACAAGAACCAGTAAATAGATGGAAAGCAAACACAATTACGAGTAAATAAGGCCCAACACTATGAAAACGGAAGAGTAGTGTGAACACAACATTGACCACTAACAGTCTAAGACAAAATCCTATCAGACTAGCCTCATACAGGTACGAGTTAGAAATATGCTCAACTACCTCCTAACCTACAACCTTAATGCTCGACCTCCACAGCTTCCTATCGAGGGCCATGTCCTCGGAGATCTGAAGTCTCGCCATATCCCACCTGATCACCTCTCCCCTATACTTCTTAGGTTGCCATCTGCCTCTCCTCGTACCCACCAACGCAAACCGCTCGCATCTCCTAACCGAGGCATCTGTGCTTCTCCTACGTATGTCATGACCCAATTCTATAATAGGCCGTGATGACGCCTAACGTTGCCGCTAGGCAAACCATCAGTGAGCAAACTATGCGATTTCTCTTTTTAAAAGATGTTGTCCAAATAATCAGACTTTCTTTAAATTAAAAAGATTCAAGAAGTAATAAATTTAAAATATATAACACGAAAGCTACCAAGTGATATCATGATCATGAAATGAAAACCAAAACCACGAGTCTACTAGTGTGTGTGCCAAGATCTGGTGTCACAAATGTATAAGCATTCTAGTAAATTATACAAAAATAAATACTAGTCTATTGTCTGAAGAGAAATAAACAGAAAAATATAAGCCTAAAGAAAGACTCCGGCTGCTGCAGAACGGCTCCAAAGGCAGCTCACCGTGAAGTCTCGAACTAGTAATCAAGCGTGCGTGCCGGACTGGTATCCAGATGCACCTGCCTCAGGTCCTGCACATTAAGTGCAGAAGTGTAGCATGAGTACATAAACAACATGTACCCAGTAAGTATCTAGTCTAACCTCGAAGAAGTAGTGACGAGGGTTGATTTCGACACTTATTATGGGCCAACAATATGAAGTCCTTATTAAACATGATATACAAAAATGATAATAGAACTCGGGGCAAGAAATAAATAAACAATCATTTCATCGTAAGTAAGAACCGAGTTACTTCCCTCATCTAACCATCAAACCTCTTAAGCCAATAAAACAATATTAAATATAAAAGGACTTCCAATGTCGTTACGCACGAATTATGTCGTGGACGTACGGTCCGATCCAAATATACATATACATAAACTATGTGTACTGCCGAGGGTCGAACAACACGAACCATAGATGCATCTATTAACCTGCCGAGGTGAATGATCCGCTTCCATGAGAGTAGTGAAAAGGTTACCCCGCTTGCGACGCAGTTGAATATAAATTTCTCAAGTTACTATAATATCCTTCAATTCTTTCCAAAATAAAGAAATTCAACTTGAAACTTTTAAAATCTTACAATCCTCAACCTTAGCCCGATTCAATACAATTAACAAACATAATCAAATAATGGTATTCACAAAGCATCGTGTAGACCCTAAACTATCCGGACATAAGCATGGATAGTAGCTACGTACGGGTTCTCGTCACCTCGTGCGTACGAAGCCCCACAAATAGCAACACATATTTATTAAGTTTACCTATGGGGTTAATTCCCTCTTACGAGGTTAGGAAAAAGACTTACCTCGCCTCGAAGCCTACTTTTCGGTCCAAGATTACGTTCAAACCCTCAATTCGGTGCCGAACAATCCAAAACTATTCAATAGTATATAAACTAATCAATACATGTTCAAAAGTTCATATTCCAACTATTAAAGTGATTACCCAACCCTAAATGCAAGATTTCTAAAATTTACCTCCCGGCCTACGTGCCCTGATTCCAAAAATTTTCGAAGAAAGTTGTTACCCATAACCTCATGAACTCAAATATATAATTTTTACTAAATTCTATAACCAATTTCGTGGTTAAATCCCACTTTATCAAAACCTAGGTTGCTCCATCTAACTCATAAATTCCATGAATTTACATGTTAAAATCTACCCATAATCTATGTTTTAAACTAATATTGAGTAGAAGTTACTTACCTCAAGGTGCTAGATGAAAATCCCTCTCAAGAAGCACCCAAAATCTCCCAAAGAGTGAGAAAAATGGGTTGGAAATGGCTTAAGTCCCGTATTAAATAAACCCTTCTGCCCTGCGATTTTCGCACCTGCGGTGGCTTGGCCGCATTTGCAGTGCTGCACCTGCGGCGCTTGGTCCGCTTCTGCGGAAGCCTTCAGGCCCAGCGAGGGCCGCTTCTACGGACGGGAGCCTGCTTCTGCGGTCCCGCTTCTCCGGCAAGCATGCCGCTTCTGTGCCTAAGTCCGTACATGCGACCTTCCTCCTCGCACCTGCGCAATCACGGGTGCGCACGAAATTCCGCACCTGCGGTCCCTGGCCAAACTCTCCAGAGCCGCTTCTGCGACCAAACCCTTGCACCTGCGACCCAAATCTTAGAGGTGCAGTTACCCTAGAACTGGTGCAACTAGCAGCCCTTTTGAGTTTCAAACTCAATTCGCGCATCGTCCGAATGGCATCGGGGGCCCCTGAGGCCCCGTCCAAACATACCAACAGGTCTGGGATCATGAAACGGACTTGCTCGAGCTCTCGGAGCGCACGAAACAACATCAAAACTAAGAATCACACCCCAAACCAATTGAATCAACAATATGAACTTCAAGTTCTTTAATTTACTCCCAATGCACCAAAACGTACTTAAACTACTCGGAATGGCACCAAATTTTGCGTGCAAGTCTTAAATGACATTACGGAACTTTTCCCCGTCTCGGAATTCCATTCGGACCTCGATATCACCAAAACCTACTCCAAATCAAATTTAAAGAACTTCAAAAACCTTCAAAGAACCAACTTCTACTATTAGGCACCGAAATACTCTGGGGTCATCCAAAACCCGATCCGAACACACGTCCAAGTCCGAAATCATCATACGAACCTATTGGAACCGTCAAATCTCGATTCCGAGGTTGTTTACTAAAAATGTTTACCGAAGTCAAACTTAGCCTTTTAAGGCCAACTTAAGGAACCAAGTGTTGTGATTTCAACCCGAACTCTTCCAAATCCCGAACTAACCATCCGCAAGTCTTAAAATAGTAAAAGCACGTACGGGAAGTCTTATTTAGAGGAATGGGGTTCTAGAAAGCAAAACGAACGGTCGGGTCGTTACATTCTCCACCTCTTAAACAAACGTTCGTCCTCGAACGGGTTTAGAATCATACCTGGAGTGCTGAATAATTGTGGATATCTGCTCCGCATGTCCTCCTCGGAATCCCAAGTCACCTCCTCAACTGGTTGGCCCCTCCACTAAACCTTTACCGCGAAAACACTCTTGGATATCAACTGGCGAACATGCCTATCAACAATGGCAATTGGCTCCTCCTCGTAACCCAGACTCTCATCTAACTAAATCGTGTTGAAGTCTAACACATGAGACAAGCATGATACCTCCGGAGCATAGACACATGGAAAACCGGATGAACTCCCGATAGGTTGGGAGGTAGAGCAAGCTCATAAGCAACCTGCCCACTCGTCTCAACACCTCAAATGGGCCTATAGACCTTGGGCTCAACTTGCCCTTGTCTCATAATCCCCTTCATCGGCAAGACTTTCAAGAGAACCTTCTCGCCGACAATAAATGATAAATCACGCGCCTTCTGATCAGCGTAACTCTTCTGTCTGGACTGCACTGTGCGAAGTCTCTCCTGAATCAACTTTACTTTTTCTAAGGCATCCTTCACCAAATCAGTACTATATAACTTAGCCTCGCCGGGCTCAAACCACCTGATGGGACAACGACATCACCGACCATATAAAGCCTCTAATGGAGCCATTTCGATGCTGGACTGGTAGCTGTTGTTGTAAGCAAACTCGGCCAAAGGTAAGAATCGATCCCACTGCCCTCCAAAGTCAATCACATATTCTATGAGCATGTCCTCCAAGATCTGAACTGTCTGCTTCGACCGCCCGTCGGTCTATGGTGAA